AAACATCACTATGTACCCTATGAGTATATACAATTATTTGTCAATTAAAATTTTAAAAAGAAGTCAGGCGTAATAACGTAAACTTTATCCCACCCAAGTTCATGGACCCAATGAGATCTATCCCCATCTGGGTTGGAAGCCCCTCCCTGGTGCTCTTCCACCTGTGGCCAGCAGGGGGCGCCGTGGGGCCAGTCTTGGGGGCACCGAGGGCGCCGGCTGGGACCACTTAGAGGGCACCAAGGGAGCTTAGCCAACAGGGTCTCTATCTGGGTGTGAGTGACTGCAGCTGTGCCCTGCCAGGACCCACAGGGTCATCAGGGCCAGGCACCCCCTCCCCCATATTGAAGCGGCTCCAGGGAGGTGAGCCCCTCCCTCCAGTGGAGTCATTACTCTGGCCAGGGCTCTGGGTGGGCAGGGCCCAGTCAGGAAGCAGCCTGTGTGCGTCTCCACCCCATGATGGGCTGGGCAGGGGCCTGGGACAAAGAGCTCTTGGGGCCTCCCCGTGGCCTGGACCCCTCTTCTCCTCCTCACCCTCCTCACTCTCTGCCCAGGGGACAAGAGATGCGGGTCTCAGGAAACAGCCCAGCAGGGCCCCTGGGCTTCTCTTCTGGCCTCCTCCTGGGTTCAGCGTGGGCTAGAGTCTAAGGGGGACCCTTCCTCGTGTCTCCCTTCTTCCAGGGTCCTGGGCCCAGTCTGTGCTGACACAGATAGCCTCAATGTCGGGGACTCTGGGACAGAGTGTCATCATCTCCTTGATAAAACCAGAGCTTGGCACATACTCAGCATCCAGGAACCACATCCAGTCAGTCTACGGAGTGCAACTCTGCAGGAGGCCAGGGTGGGCCTGTGACCAGTGGACATGGGCAGCCACCTCCACGTTGAGGATGGCCCTTGGCTCACTCTTGGGTGCTGGGGAGAGGGGCTGGAAGGCAGGGACACAAGACACCCAAGCAGCTCCTCTTCCCTGGGACCAGCAAAGAGGGAATGGATCTGGGGCAGTCTGGCCGCACTGTAGGGTCAGGGGCTGTGCCCACCATGGCCTGAACTCCTTTCTGCTCCCCTCACTGCACAGGTAGGGACAGGCCTTGGTGACCAAGAGAAGTCCCCCAGCCTGCTTCAGCCCCTCTCACACCCCCGGTCATCCTTACCTGGGACCCTGCTCCTCATCTGGATGTGTCTGTGTTTGCAGGTTCCCTGTTCCGGTCTGTGCTGACTCAGCCACGCTCCCTCTCTGCGTCACCGGGAACACCGGCCACACTCACCTGCACTCTGAGCCGTGACATTAATATTGGTGGCAAGAAGAGACTGATCCCTGCGGAAGCCAGTGCTTCTTCCTGGGAATGCTGTCAACAACATGACGGAGGCGTAGGGGGAGGGGAAGGGGGAGGCCCAGAGGGAGGCTGAGCCGCCCTAAGGGAGAGGCTGAGGAGGTGTGCTGGAAAATGCTCAACACCTGGCTCTCCAGAAAGGAACGCTGAGTTCTAGTGCTTGCCAATTTCCATGGTGTAAACACTCCCGCTGTGGCTGATTTCAAGCTACCAACACGGTGTCGCTGAACATGGAGCTGCAGAGATGCATACAGTGAGGCTCTCATAGGACGGGATGAGCTGCCTGTAGTGCTTCAAATGCCCAGGGAATCTGAATCCTTGATGTTCTTGTCTAGACTGGGATCCCACAGGTTTTCCTTGACCAAGACAACTGGGCAAGGCAGTGTTAAGAGGTACCCCCATGGATCCCCTGGGCTCCCAAGAAAGTCCCCATCGCTGCTACTGTGTGAGAGAAACTAACTTTTCTCCAGCAATCTGGATCAGTCACCCCAGCCAGTGCAATGACCCCTTCTCAGCCTGTTGGTTGAGCAGCATGAGAAGCTCACATTTCTGGGGGCTGATTCAGCTTCCAGATTGTTCCTTTAGTCCCACACTTAATTCTTGTTCAGCTTGATCCTAGGTCGGCGGTTCCATGACCCCATCAGTTTCTGAACCAGCACTCTGAGCATCCTGGCCGAGCTCCATGGTGTGGTCTCACGCTGTGCAGTGCCACCAGAAGTCTGTACCCCAGCATGCTGGTCACAGGCCTTCCTGTGGGTCTCCAAGACAGTCCCTTTTTGTTGAATATGAAGCACTTTGGCCTGTAGCTGGTGGCAAGAGCTTTTAGGAGAGCAACAGAATAAAAGAACTGTCTGTGATGACAAAAGACTTAAAATGATGTGGTTAAATATCTCCATTAATTCCTCAAATATTCGTCCCTCTCTGGTTTTTTCTCTCGTTTTATAACTCCTACTGTCTAGCTCCTGCCCCTTTCCTTCCCCCTGGCATCCCCAGCTTAGGAAATGGTTATACTTGTACGTCAGCTGCCCATTCGAAGACCTGGGGTCACCCTTGGGTCCTCTCTCTTACTCAATAACCCACACCAAGTCTTATCAATGTTTCACACACACACACACACACATACAATTATTTTTAAAAATCTCCCTTCTGGAAGACCCAGCTTTCTTCTTAGAGCTCACCACAGTTTGAGTGATTACTTGGAATTTTTAAGTGGCAAAAATTATAATAATATATTTAGAAATACCCTTAAAATGTTAAAGCAAGTAATAAAAGAGAATCGTGAAATGTATTTGAAATGTTTAGCTCTAAGACGACCCACAGCGAATGAAGGATATCAAAGTAAATATTGTTTTTTAAAAAATGTTTCATTTGGTTTAAAATACAAGAATGACGAATAGGATCAAAATTCTTTGAAAAGTAACTACAAATATCACAACTGCATACAAGGCAAATATAAAGATGCTAATCTTATGAAGGAAAAAAACAATAAAATCTGGGTTTTTTTTTAATACCAACAAAAATGAGCTTGGAGAAGACCTGGATGTGAAAGTATGCAAACTGTATTTAACTCTTTTCGTAGCACAGATAAGAAGCGCATATTAATAGAATTTGCAGTCAGAGTTAACCCACGATGCCTTGTGCCAGGCACCGTGGAGTCATCTAGAATCGTGTGTTCCAAACAAACCCCCTTGGCTTCGAGAAGCCGAGCAGAGACCTGGTGCGGCGTCAGGGACGGAGGTAAGAATTCTTTCTCTACCGCATTCCAGGAAAAGCCTCCACTGTTCCTGGTGAGGGTAAGAGCTCTGGCTGAGAATTTTCTCTTTCTTCTTCTCTCTACGAAGAGGCCTTGTCACGCTCTCCGCTTCACAGCCGGGATTCCATAAAGCCCTTGGGGGCCACGCCCGGTGACCTGCCTGTGTCCGGCACTGTGCATCCAAGAGTCTTTCTGCATCCTGGCCTCACGATGGACTTCCGAGGGCCGTGTTCCCCATTCGCAGGTTCCACAAATAGTCTATAAGTATCTCCCGGTGTTCTGATAACTGGGCGCGGAGACCGTCCCCACCCCTCGCCTGGGCAGGTGGAGCTGTTGGCCAGAAAGGCAGCAGGAGGAAGGGGGGGCTCGTGGAGTTGGCCCAGCTGACTAAACAGGTGAGGTCCGCTCCTCGTCGGGGAGAGAATGGACGTAGCAGGCAGCTTGAGACCACACAGGGGGCTCATCTGAGCCAAAGGGGTGCTCACTCCTTCATGTGTTTGCGAGATAGAGTCCTGGCGCGTGCCCAGCTGCTCAAGGCCACCCGGTCCAGCCGGAGTCACTTCAGCTGTAGTCACAGGCCTGGGCAGATCCAAGGGGAGGAGACAGACTCCGGCCTTTCAGTGGGGGGATGGGCATGTAGAACAAGAGACCTCTTGGCGCCATCTCAGAGTTACTTCTGGCTACGGTTTGAATGTTTGTGTCTCCCCAAAATTCATATGTTAAAATCCTGACCCCATGGTGATGATATTAGGAGGTGGGGCCTTTGGGAGGTGATTAGGTCCTGGGGACAGAGGCCTCTTGCGTGGGATTAGTGCCCTTGCAAAGGAGACCCCAGAGTGTCCCTTCTACCGTGTGAGGCCATGGTGAGCAGACGCCGTCTGTGGGCCAGGAAGCAGCCCCTCTCCTGACACCGCATCCGCCAGACCTGGGCTTGGACTTCCCAGCCCCCAGAACTATGGGAAATAAGTTTCTGTTGTTTATTAGCTGCCTGGTTTGTGCTATTTTGTTACAGCAGCCAGAATGGACCAAAACACTTCCCTGATCGTTTCCTAGGGCCGCAGTAACAAAGCACCACAGACCCCGGGGCTTAAACAACAGAAATCTATTTTCTCACAGTCCTGGAGGCCAGAGGTTGAAAATCAAGGTACAGGCAAGGCTGGTCCCCTCTGAGGGCTCTGAGGGAAGGCTCCGCTCCAACCCCTCTCCTCGGCATGTAGGTTCCACCTTCCCTGCATGTCACTTCGTACCCTCTTCCCTCTATGCGTGTCTGTTTGTGAGTCCAAATGTCCCCTTTTTATGAGGACAGCAGTTGTATGACCTCACTTAACCTTAATTACCTCTCTAAAGGTCCCATCTCCAAATACGGTCATACTGGGGGTTAATGCTTCGCCCTATGACTTTGGGGGCGCACGATTCAGTCCATCACGGGGCCAAGGTGAGCTGGAAAGAGGGAGGGGAGTGACACAGGATCCCCATGGTGCGTCTTTCTCGAAAGCCCCTGCCACTCCGCTGTGGGGGCAAAGGAGCCGGCTTGGGGGCAGTGCCGGGGCGTGACAGGGCCAGAGCTCCCACTTCCTTCCGCCTGTACCGAGCAGGTGTTTCCACCGCCCTGAGGATGTGTCCTGTCTTCCCGCTTCACCAGGCATTTAAATTTGGACAAGACGTTTATCTCGGTGGGGCTCAGTGTCCACAGAGGGGAGTGACCTGGACCGTGAAGCAGGTGCTTCCTCCCTGAGCCACAACGGCCGCCACTGGCTGTTCCCATAACGGACACCACGGCCCCAAGAAAGTTGGGGATGGTAGTGGCCAGGAAGGGGGCATGCCACGGCCCACCCCTGCAGCAGGGCGGAGGACGCTGGCCCGGCCCGAGAGGGCTCCAGGAGCCCCAGCGCGGGAGGCAGAGCTCTGCGGGCTGCGCCATGTCCTGGACTCCTGTCCTGCTCCTGCTACTCGCCCACTGCACAGGTGAGGGAGCCCCCAGAACCCGTAGCTCCCCACCCCGCCCCTCGCCTTGCCCAGCCCTGGAGGCCCACATGCTTCTGTGTCCCCAGGCTGTGGCCTTCACCTGCTGCTGCATCAGCCGCCGACCGAGGCCGCCTTCCTTGGAACCACAGTCCGCCTCACCTGCACCCTGAGCAGCGACCACAACATCGGCGTTTACAGTGTCTTCTGGTACCAGCAGCGGCCAGGACACCCTCCGAAGTTCCTGCTGAGACACTTCTCCCACTTGGACAAGAACCGGGGCCCCGAGGTCCCCCCTCGCTTCTCTGGATCCAAGGACGTGGCCAGGAACAGGGGGTACTTGAGCATCTCTAAGCTGCAGCCCGAGGATGAGGCTATATATTTCTGTGCCGTGGGGGCCCAGAGCATGGACAAGGAGAGGGACATGGAGGGGGACAGGGAGAGGGGGGAAGAAAAGGAGGCTGCTGCACCCCGGGACTCGAGTATCTTGACCTGAAGACAGAGGGGCAGGCGTCCTTGCAGAGGCTGGGGTGGCGGAGGAGGATGGAGCCACAGGCCACACAGCGTCCCCTGGTCGGGCAGTGTTGCTGTAAGCCCCAACGGAGACTGGATTTGGGGATTAAAGCTGCTTGTCTTGGGAAGTTGTTTTGCTGATTTTGGTCTGACTCGTGCGCCATCTCATAGGAAGCATCTAAGAACCAACCCGGGGTGACGGTCCCAGGAGATTGGCTGATCGCGGCCTGCTTGGTTGAGGTGTGTGGAGAGCGCTCACCCGCACCCATAGTCCCCTGAGTCATGGGAGCCAAGGGGTGGACAAAAGCCCCTGGGGTGGGCATCCTTGCCAAGGACAGGACCCGCTATTGGCATCAGATCATGCTCTGGAGTTATGGGGTAAACAAGCTCAGAAAATACCCTTATTGGGCCTCTCGGAAGGGAAACAGGACCCAGGTGGTAGGTCCAGAGCGGATTCTCCATCTTCGTCCCATTGGCATTTGGGGCCAGACAATGCTTGGTTGTGGGGCCGTCCTGTGCACTGAAGGATGCTGAGCAGCCTCCCTGCCCTCTACCCGCTAAACCCCTCCCAACCAGGTGTAACAACCAAAAATGTCTCCAGACATTGCCAAGTGTTCCCCCAGGGTGGCTTAATCACCTCAATTGAGAACCACTGGTCGAGGTGAGAGAAATGTATTCACTCTTCCGCACAGGACAGTGGTAGAGGCTGACAAACGTTTTCTTTAAATGGCCAGATAGTCAATATTTTTGGCTTTGTGGGCCATAGGGTCTCTGTTGCAACTGCTCAGTTCTGTCCTTGTGGCAAGAAAGCAGCCACAGACAATAGGTGGACATGTGGGTGTGGCTGTGCTCCTATTAAACTTTATTTACCCAGAAGATGCGGCTGGGTTGGATACAGCACTCAGGCCGCAGTTTGCTGACCCCAGCTCTAGAGAAACACTCCAGCTCCTGCCTCCAGGTCTTAACCAAGCCACGCTTGGTGGAGTGATTGAGGTCCCCCTCGACTCCTCCTGCCTGATGACCCAAGGGATACTGACCCTCTGGACCCACGGAGAGACCTAGAGGCTCAAGGGAGGGATGTGGTTTCATGGAGGCCACACTGGGCTTATCAGGTGGAGGAGGGATGGGAGGGTTCCTGCAGCCCTGGCCCCACAGCGTGGCCCCCTGAGCACAAGGGGTGTAGGGCAGAATGTGCCCTACAGGAAGGGACCCTGCACGTGGGGTGTCCACACAGTGTGTAGGCATGGCTCACACTCAGGGAGGTGCCAGGGAAACCATCTCCCATGTGACCCCAAACTTGGCTGAGAACATCCCCAAAGGTCCCCCCAGAAAGTCAGACACGTGTCAATATCGGCCCTTCCACATGTGGCCTGTGATTGTCTCTTTTGTAAAATGATGGTCTCAGCTCATGCCATGCTCCGGGGACCCTCAGGGCTTCCATGTCCTCAAACACACTTGAGTTCTTCCTGCATCAGGCATTTGCCTCCTGGTCCGTGTTTTTTATTATTATCATTATTTTTAGAGACAGGATCTTGCTATGTTGCCCAGGATGGAGTGCTGTGGCTATTCACAGGCACGTTCATAGCTCACTGCAGCCTCCAACCCCTGGGCTCAAGCGATCCTCATGCCTCAGCCTCCCAAGTAGCTGGGACTGCAGGCGCGCGCCACGACGCCTGGCCCAGGCCCACATTTGAAGGCCAGCTAGATGATCCTTAAAGAACTCTGTCTTCTGCATGTAACCCGCCCCTCTCTTGTGTTCTTCCTTCGTGACTCTGGAATTCCATGTCAAGGCAAGAGACCCAGAAAGCAGGAAGTTGGGTTGAACTCCTCCATCATCCTAAAGCCCCTGCTCCACCAGCTCAATGGACCTTGGACTTGGGCCTCAGGCCAGAGTGTGAGTCTTGAATCTAGTCGGCTGTGGAGGGGTCACTTGAAATCAAGGCCAACATTTCCAATGTTGTGTATAAAGGGAAACATAATAGTGCTGATTAATTTATATAAAATGCTTAACCTGGGCTTAACTGTCATGGGCACTCAACAAAATAGTAATGTCATTATTTCCTCATCGGTCACTGGCCTGGCCTTTCCTCTCATCAAATCCTTTCCTCTAATCTGAGTCATTTCTCACCTTGACCATTATCTGGCCTCCTGCCTGTCCCCCTGCTACAGCCTTTACCCTTCATCTTCGTCACTCCTAGATCCAGCCTTGCCTGTACTCCTCCTCTCTGACCCTTAATTGTCTCCCATACTCCAAGGCACATATGGCAGCCACATCTGTAATTTCCTATTTTCTAGTGGCTACATTAAAAAAAAAAAAGTAAAAAGAAATGGGTGAAATGATTTTAATGACATATTTTATTTAACAAGATATAATCTCAAAAACTATCAATTCAACCTGTAATCAATATAAAAATTAGTTACTGAATAGCTTAAACTGTTTTTTGTATTCACTCTTCAAAATCGGTATGTCATGTACACTTATGGCTCATCTGACTTTGGAGCAGCCGTGACCTGAGTGGTCTGCAGCGGCACGTAGCTTGTGAAAACACAGCGCCGGCTGGGGGATAAAGTTCAGACTCCTCACCATGGCGCAGCCTTCCGAGGCTGGCTCGGGCTCTGCCCTAGGTCCCGTTACCGGAATACCCCGAACTGCCCATTCTGCTGTGTTAAGCCAACTCCAATTGATCAAGCACCTAATTCTCTTGGTTGTCCCCAAATGAGTGCCCAAACCCTTTACTGCCAGGAGAATGTGCTGTGCTGTTGAGGGACCAACTCAGGGTTCTACAGTTGTCTCAGATCTCACTGCTTGGACAAGACTTCCCTGATCTCTTCATGCCATTGTTAACGTCCTCCAGTATGCAAACACCATGTTTTCCTAACTACATTTAGCACCTACCGCACACCTACATTTAGCACCTACCACACAGCTCTAGATTTATTTAGCAAGGCCCCTCCTCCACTAGCCCGTGGGTTCTCAGTGGGCAGGATCCGTTCAACTCATTTATGTGCCTGATAAATATTTGGTGATAAGAATCGAGTGAACAAATGAACGAGTGCATGAATTCTTGGGGAAGGGACCGTTTGGGAACTTTCTGAACCTATAACAGAGGAGGGAGATGCCGCAGAGGGTGGGGTCCCAGATTGTCGGGATGCATTTGCTGTTACCACAAAGACCCACCCCCAGGCACCAACAGGACTCCTGACAGCAGCACAGAACACTGGGTGCCGACAGCTGTGGTCTGTGCCTGGAAATCCCTGACTCAGCTTCCTCGGTGGACGAAGAGACACAGAACGAAATGGGCTTGGACCGTTGCCCATAGCCAGCGTGAACTGAAGACCAGAGACTCAAACATTTTGACCCGAGGAAAACCCTGAGACCCTCGAGGAAGGGGATCCGAGGAAGATCTGGGGATCTTGGGGGACAGAGCATGCCAGTCAGACTCAGACTCAAATGTAAGGGGTACCCGTGCACACAGAGGCCAGTGCATGGTTACACAAGATGAGCAGCAGGGTGGCCCCATGTAAGGAGGGAGGGAGGAATCTGCACACGGGGGCTCTTCCATTTCTTCCCACTGTGTGGATCCGGGTGTTCACTACGGAAAGCGAGATGGGTCCGTCTTCACTCCTGCTTCACTTGGTAGCTAGAAAACTTCCCCTCACTGAGGATGTCCTCACCTTAAGGGACGATTCGTATAGTAAATATCTGATATTTTTCCCTTTATTTACCAACTATGGAGAGGATGAGTCAGCACGCCAGCATCGTCCAACTTTAGTTTGTTAGTATTGTTACAAACTCACAGGTATAAACATATTTGAGGTGTTTAGATTCATTGCAATTATGATATGTTTTTCTATCTTCGGTCAGTACAACTCTATTCAAACTGGTCTTAACCAGGAACATTTCGACGTGTGAAGAACAGTAAATTTAACTTTGTTCTTACTATTATTTAAGCAATTAAGGAAAGGGCCAGGAGTGGTGGCTCACGCCTGTAATCCTACCATTTTGAGAGGCCGAGGCAGGAGGATCGCTTGAGCTCAGGAGTTCGAGACCCCATAGTGTTTTCAGGACACCACGCCCCGTGACTATTCAGTGCCTTGCCCATCTCCCTAAGGACCACGAGGTCTCTGGGATGCAGCACCTGGCCCTCAGGGGATGCTCAGTCACTGTCTGTGGGACCCTGGGATCCAAGCAGAGTCGCATGGGACCTTGGAGTCTGACCTCATTAGGAATTCATTATCGCAGGGGATAATGCAAAGTTGCGTGTCTGTACAGCTGCTGTCCCCAACCCCTGGGCCAAGGAACTCAACAGGCCATGGAACTCAATGTGGGGGAACCTGAGGAGAGCCTCTCAGAGCTGGACGAGCCACTGGACAGCACATCCCTGGGGACAAACCAGGCCCTTGTGGACTGGGATGCCGGGGACCTAAAGCAAAGGACAGTTATGAACACGAACAGCAGATCAGCCGACTGTGAAACGCAAGAGTGGATTTGACAACAAGCTTCAACTCAGACCCACAACTGGGACAGCGTGTCCCCTGACAGCATTTTTCAAAAGATTTTCCACCACAACTCCCAGCAAGGAATACATTTTCTACCCTTCTCCGGAGCATATCTAGGTATCTAGATAACTGAAGCAAAATCCCACTCAGGATCATGTCCCTCCCCTTTCACGGATGCTCTCCAGCCAGAGTTGGCTCTGGGCTAACCCCACTTTCACAAAATGCTAGCTGCACCCATGTTAATTGATTTCGCACCCTTTGTGAATTGCAACGCAAAATTTGGAAAGTGGTAGCTGGAGCACAGTATCATCAGAGGTTCATTTATTTCATGACGGTTGGTGATTTTTTCCCAGGCCACGCCAGCTGATGTGTTCATAACAATCACATCAGCCCCGTGTGTCATGCATGCAGAACTTTCCAGTTTGAAAACCACCTTCAAAGGACAATTAGTGTATGATCCCACTCCTGTGAGGTGCCTGGGGCAGTCGACTTCATAGAGACAGAAAGTAAAATGGTGGGTGCCAGGGCCTGAGGATAGGGGATTGGGGAGTTACTTTTTAATGGGGACAGAGTTTCAGTTTTGCAAGGTGAAAAAGTTCTGGAGATAAGTGGTGGTGATGGTTGCACAACGCTGTGAATGTACTTATTTTTTTTAATTTAACTATTTTTATTTTTTATTTATTTATTTTGAGACAGAGTCTTGCTCTGTTGCCCAGGCTAGAGTGCAGTGGCATCGTCACAGCTCACTGCAACCTCAAACTCCTGGGCTCAAGCGATCCTCCTGCCTCAGCCTCCCAAGTAGCTAGGACTATAGGCGTGCACTACCATGCCCAGCTAATTTTTGTAATTTTAGTTGCCCTGATAATTTTCTTTTTCTATTTTTAGTAGAGACGGGGTCTCGCCCTTGCTCAGGTTGGTCTTGGACTCTTGAGCTCAAGTGATCCTCCCACCTTGGCCTCCCAGAGTGCTAGGATTACAGGCATGAGCCACTGTGCCCCGCCCTTTGAATGTACTTAATGCCCTGAACTACGCACTTAAAAATGGTCAAGATGGTAGATTTTATGTTATGCATTTTTTATCACAATTTTTTTTAAAAAACTAAAGCAAAACGCCCCACTTTCACATTAATTATCTCCCAACACTGACCTCACCGTGGTCCCTGTGAAGAGCAGAGCCAGCAGCACTTCCAGCCTGGCCCAGGGAGGAGGACAGGAGTGTGGAGACTCCTGAGTGACCTGAGGCGTCACTCCTGCAGTGCCAGAGAAGAGCCAGGCCGTCACCACCCCGCACCGGTGCTGAGTCCCTGCTGGCCACCTGCTGCCTATCCCACAGCACAGGGTCCCAGGAAGAGGGGAGGGGGCAGGACTCCCAGGGGACAGAGAGGGCCCAGGCACCCGGCAGAAACCATGGGCCAGACTGAGCGCTAGCCATGGTGACTCCACACACTGCTTTGGAGAAAGTTACTGGCCTCTGCATGAAATCTACAAGGGCAAGTTCTGGAGAGCTACAGATACAGCAAGGAGACTGCAGTTCCTGATAATGTATCGGACACTTGGAAATTGCTAAGAGCATAGATCTTAAATGTTCTCACTCCAAAAAAATATGTGAGATGATTAGAAATGTTAATTAGCTTGATTTAATCATTTCACAATTCATACATATAACAAAACATTACGTTGTACACCGCGAACATATACAATTTTTACTTGTCAGTTATACCTTTAGAAAGCCGGGGAAAGGGGACTCTGAGGGTGCGTGGAGGTGGGGGGAGTCTGTAAGCCGAATATGGTGTGTTAAACACCATTTTCATTATTATGGCATGACCCTGGACTTGAACAGAGTGGCTTCTTGCTAAATCTAAACCTCCCTCCCCTCTCACCAACTCCTCCCCCCAGGGCTGGGTGGGAGAGCCCCAGCCCCAGCCCGAGCTCAAGCCCTCCGGGACTCCTGTTCTGCTGGGCACTAGGCAGCTCTCCATGGCCCCTCCAGCCCCAGGGAGTTGCTCACAGACCCAGGGCGCCCTTGGGGAATTGGGGACGAGGGCAGGTCAGGTGTGCCCCACCCAGGGCCCCAGGGACAGAGTTAGGCAGGCATCAGCTGAGCCCTGAATCCCGACCACAGCGGGGCGGTTGGCAGATGTCCCTCTGGGAGAGACCCCCAGGGGTAACAGCCATGGACCATGGAAAGGACCGGGCCAGGGGCAGGGACCAGAGCCAGTCCAGGGCGAAGACAGGCCACACGGACCGGGACACACTGGGACGGCCGCTGCCAGCAAGAGGGACCAGGGCCCCCCCTTTCCAGGGAGCCCACGCTGCAAATCCAGCCACGGGTGCCTTTGACCCTGAGGGTGGATGAGGCTCGGGAAGGGCCAGGTGGGCCGTGAGGCCCCCAGGGGACTGGGTCCCAGTCCTAGGCTGCGCTGGCCCCTGCTGCTGCTGGGCTTGGCCATGGGCACCCACGGCTTCCTGTCCTCGACGGAGGCACCTCGGAGCAGGGCCCTGGGCCCTGGAGCCCGGGTAGGAAGCACCCAGTACAGCCCGCAGATCCCGTGGAGCAGGTAAGGGAGGAGAGACTGGGGCGGGGAGGGATGCAGGGTCCTGCAGCCGGAGCCGGAATGGGCGGCCCAGGGGGAGACCAGCGGGGAGGGGGGGGTTGGTGAGAAGGAAGGTTAACCCCAGAGGGGGGCTGGGCAGACACTGGCTTTAAAGTGTTGATATTTTGTCCATCATGGATTTGTTCGAATTCATTTTTATTTTTAATATTATAGTAAAATACTATTTATCTTGATTCCTGAGTTTTCTGGCCCCCTTAAATTCTGCACCAAGGCTGGACCTCACTCTCCTCCCCCTAGTCCTCCGGGTAGGGCGGAAACAGAGGCAGGACACCCTCATCCTCGCAGCTGGTGGCCGCTGTCCACACAGGGTGCCCAGGCCTCCCCCCACCCCTCCCCCCACTCTGGGGTGAGCCCCCTCCGCTGGGCATGGCCACTCCCCGGAGCACCAGGCGGTGGGCTCCAGCTGATGTCGTAGGGGGACCTTCCCTGGGGTCTGCAGGTCCCCAGACCCTTAGCCAAGGACCCTTAGCCAGAGTGGCCTCCTGGGACTGGCCCCTTGGGAACCCAAGCCCCCCCAGGGTGTAGGCGCCTCCAAGGGAAAGGCCCAAGGGAGGGTCTGTGGGGGCCCCAGTGTGGCCCACCTCACTGTGTGACCCCAGCTCTCTCCTCTCCGTGTGTGGTGGGAAGTCCCCAGACAAAGCATGGAGTATCTAAGTCCGTTTATGACAATCTGTGACACAACGGCCCATCATCACTGGCTCACTTCACACCCCAGGGGCACTACTCATTTTAGGGGCAGATCCTGCTGTTATCCCTGTTTTACAGACAGGGATAGAGGTCAGAGAGGTGAGGCCACCTGCCCAAGGTCACACAGTTCATGTGCACAGTACTGCAGCTGTCCCCTGTCCTCCAGCTCCAGGCATGATGGCCTCATTTCTGAGCTGTTGGAGCTGACAAGGCCACCTCTCAGCCTCAGTTTCTCCTTCTGCAAAGTGAGAAGTCCTGATGGGGTGAGGGCCTTGCAGCCTGCCCCCCACCCTGAGGACGCTGGGGTGGCCATGGCGAGGGCCCCAGCGGGCTGAGCTGACTCTGAGCTACGCCAGCAGCTGGCCACGGAGGACGGGTCAGCACCTGTGGGTGTCCTGCAGGGACTGCGGAGCAAGAGGTCCCCGGCGTCATCAGGCTCCGAGCCTGGGCTGACATCTAGACTTGCCCCACTCAAGTTCACAGGGAGAGGGTGTCAGGTGAGGTGACAGCCACATGCAGTGTGGTGACTGCCAGACAGAGAGCCAGAGGAAGCCCCACAAGGGACAGATATCAGGTAGAAGGATGCGCCTGGGCCAGGGCCTCTGGGGCACAGAGCGCTCAGGAAGCCCCTGATGGTCCCCAGGGCTGGAGTGCGTGGGCCCTGGGGCCAAGGTGGTCTGAGAGGAGGCTGGACAGGCGACTAGGGCCAGCCCCCAGGACCGTCCCAGAAGACAGACTTCATCTGGGGAGTCCCAGGGGGGCGTTTGCAGGAAACTGACAGGACCAGACTTGAATGGGTGGGCGGGGGTGGGAATCCAGAACTAGAGAGACCCCAGGGAGGGTGTCATGGTGACCCAGAGTTTGATAGATAAGGGGACAAGAGCCAGGAAGTGGAGGAAACAGGAAAGGGAGTAGCGAGGCCCGCTCCCTGGCTTTTTTGATGGACAGTTAGGAGAAGACCGTGACGGCATCAGCAGGTCCTGTATTTTATAAACAAATGGTCCAAGACAAGGGGTGGTCTGCAGGGCGCAGGGAGAAGGGCGCAGGGCTTGGCTTGGCTCCCCCAGGCGTCCACTCCCGGACTTGGTCACCGGCGTTTGCTGGGGCCAGGCTGGGCTCGCAGATCTGGGGCCGCCGGCTGGTGTCGCCCGCAAAGGCAGCGGCGTGGCGAGCAGGGCGCGGAGGCCCGCAGGGCTCGAGTCGGGGGCTTTATCTGTGGTCGGGTGTAGCCCTGGGGGATCTGAGTAGGGGACCGTCGGAGCTGGATTCGTGTTTTGGAAAAATCGGCTCCGGATGGGAGGCTGCTGCCGGGCCGGATTGGAGGAGGGAGGTGGGAGGCGGGGAGCCCGCGCCCTGGGGTGACGAGGTCACGCTGCGCTGCGCCACCAGGGGCCAAGATCCCAGTGATGTGGGCGAGTGGAGGTGAAGAGACGGTGCCCGAGACTGAGGAGGGAGGCATGGGCGCTCTAATAACGGGCTGCGGTGGGAGACTGAGTTTCTGAAACATGTATGAACATTCACAAAAATGTGCATTCCATTTAATCGAGTAATTCCACTTGTAGAAATTTATCTTGAGGAAATAATCAAAACTTCAGCTAAACGTAAGTGTGTTCATGGGGGAAAAGTGGAAGCAACCTAAATGCCCATAGGGGAAGGTAAAATAAACTAGGGTACATCCATGGTAGGGAGTATTCAGCAGCCGTTCAGTATGTTTTTGGCCACTGTAATAATATAATAAGGATTTTTAAAACAGCCTACAATGTCCTACTATTTTTTACATTTTATTTTAATTTATCCAGTAAAAATCCCTCTTGTGGAGTAGCAAAAAAAAAAAAAAACTATAAAATTTTTTTTTGAAATCATAGAATTATGTAACCACCACCAGAATCGAGATACAGAATATTTCCATCACCCCTCCCAACATTTCTCTGTGCGCCTTTACAGTCAAGCCCTTTCTCTGCCTGACCACGGCAACTACTGGTCTCTTTCTGACTCAACTTACCTGCTTTTTCCAGCATAGCATATAAATAGAATCATAAAGTATGTAACCTTTTTTTTAAATTAAACTTTTCATTTTGAGATCATTAGAGATTCATTCACATGCAATTGTAAGAAGTATTTAATAATATAGAGAGATCCCTTATATACTTTGAGATCACTGTAGATTCATTCCCGTGCAGTTATAAGAAGTAATACAGAGGTCCCTTAAATACTTGGCCCAGTTTCCCCTGATGGTGACATACTGTATGTAGTACAATATCACAGCCAGGATATTGAAACTGATACAGTCAAGGAACAGAATATTTCTGGCCGTGCGCGGTGGCTCACGCCTGTAATCCTAGCACTCTGGGAGGCCGAGGTGGGAGGACTGCTTGAGTTTAGGAGTTCGAGACCAGCCTGAGCAAGATTGAGACCCCATCTCTACTAAAAAATAGAAAAGATTGGCTGGACATGGTGGCACATGCCTGTAGTCCCAGCTACTCGGGAGGCTGAGGCAGGAGGATCGCTTGAGCCCAGGAGTTTGAGGTTGCTGTGAGCTGGGCTGACGTCACGGCACTCTAGCCCAGGAAAGACAGCAAGACTCTGTTTCAAAGAAAAAAAAAGGAACAGAACATTCCTGACACAAAGCTGCCTCATGTTCCGCTTTTATAATAACACTCCCTTTCCTCTCTCCCAAACCCCTCCTAAACCCCTGGCAACTACTAATTTTATTTTCATTTCTATAATTTTTTCATTTCAAGAATGTTCTGTAGATAGAATCATATAGTATGTAACCTTCGGGGACTGGCTTTTTTTTCACTCAGCATAATTTTCTGGATATGCATCCAGGTGGTTGGGTATATCACAGTTTTTTCCTTTTTATTGCTGAATAGGATTCCATTTTACGAATGTATCACAGATCGTTTAGCCATTCATCAGTCGAGCGACATTTGGGTTGTTTCCAGTTTTGGACAATGTCAGATAAAACCAGTGTACACATTTGCATTCAAGCTTTTGTTTGAACATAAGTTTTCATTACACCTGGATAAATACCTAGGATAGGAATTGCTTGGGGTGCCGGTCACGCACCTCCCCTGGGCCTTGTCACAGCCCCGCCCTGTGCCCCCGTCACGCCCTGGCAGGTTCCTGCTCCAGCCCAGCCCCCGGGGGGCGGGCGCCAGGTGCTGGCCCCGCCGGTTTTGGTCTGAGCCTCAGTTGATGTTTGTCTTCGGTGGTGGGACCCAGCTCACCGTCCTAGGTAAGTGGCTGTCACCTTTCCCATCCTGTCCCTTCCTCTGCTGTTTCTGGAAAGTCCGTTTTCTCTGTCTGGGGGCTCCTTCCCCTCTGCCCTCCTCGGCCTTAAGGACTGACCCCTCACCTTTCTCCGTGGGGTCTGGGGAGGTGGGTTGGTCTCGGGGTAACCAGCAGGAGCCGCCACCATCAGGTTCCCCAGCTGCCCGCGGCCCACTCCCAGGCTGGCTGGGGTTGGCCAGCAAGGGGCTCCTTCCCCTCTCCCGGCGCAGATGCCCCAGTGGGAGGCAGAGGCCAGTTCTGACGAGGGCGACTGCGGCGGCGTTAGAGACAGTCCCCGAGACCCCAGGGTCTGGGCTGAGGGCTGGATGCCCATCCAGGCTGAGGAGGCCACCAGGGGCCAGGGACACAGGTACAGGGTGTCATGGTGGGGGAGACAAGTGGAGGACGCAGAGAGGGCCCCGGGTCTAGGCTGCAGCTCTCTGGCCTCTGCTGGGCCATGAGGACAGAGAGACACAGAGAGACGGGTCACCCTGGGCGAGGTGACCAAAGTCCAGCCCTCCCAGGATGGGCAGCGGAAAGGAGTGGGTCCCTTGGGGCAGAGGCTGGTCTGTCCCCGGAGCCCTTCACCCCTGGGCCTGGAGTCTCACCTGCCCATTGTCGGTCTCCTGCCTTCCTCAAAGGGCACCTTAGACTCATGAGGTGACAGAAGGTTGTGAATGGGGGTAGAGAGAGCCCCATGGCTGCCGGTAAAGTCAGGAGTCATCCGAGGGGCTGAGGGGTCCTGCGGCAGCCGTGCCCTGGAGTCTGGGGGAGCGGCCCCGAGAACACAGCCCAGGTGAAGCGTCCTGGGGTCAGGCTGGCGGGGACGGGGAGACGGCGGAGCCTCAGAAGAGCCCCGGGCTGGCCTGGTGGAGCCCACTCCCCTGGGAGAGCTGAGTGGGCCGGGCTGGGCCAGAGCCTGGTGCCCGAGGGGACAGGAGGCTCCAGGCCGCACCAGGCACCAGGTTCAGTCTCGGAGCTTCCCCACACGGAGCCGGGGCCATCCTGCGGGCTGGGCAGGGACCCCCTAGATCGCAGAAGAGGCTCCGGGCACTGGAAGAATAAAGTGGGGGGTCCTGGGTCCTGAGTCCGGGATCCGGAGGTCGGGGCCAGATTCCAAGCTCAGACCCCAGAGACCAGGAGGAGGGAGCACAGCCTGCCCCAGAACATGGGGAAACTGAGGCTGCAGGGGGGAGTGGCTGGTCAGGTCACCTGGGAGCGATGACATGGGAATGGCGTCCAGGAGGGCGCTGGGCCGTCTGCTCTCCAGGCGGCTCCAGTGGGAAGAGGGGACAGGCAGAGGAGGGAAGGAGAGTGCCGGGTGCACCAGACGGCCACAACGTGAATGGTCACAGAGACCTCAGACGGGGTGGGGGCAAACACCCAGACTCTCCCTCAGCGTCTCACACCCCTCCCCTGTCCACACAGGTCAGCCCAAGGCTGCCCCCTCCGTCACTCTGTTCCCACCCTCCTCTGAGGAGCTCCAAGCCAGCAAGGCCACGCTGGTGTGTCTGATCAGTGACTTCTACCCGGGCGCCGTCACCGTGGCCTGGAAGGCAGACGGCAGCCCCGTCACCCAGGGCGTGGAGACCACCCAGCCCTCGAAACAGAGCAACAACAAGTACACGGCCAGCAGCTACCTGAGCCTGTCACCCGGCCAGTGGAAAGGTAGTAGCAGATACAGCTGCCAGGTCACCCATGAAGGCAGCACCGTGGAGAAGACAGTGTCCCCTGCAGAGTGTGCTTAGACCCCCAGCCGCCACCCCACCCTTGGGGGCCTGGAGCTGCAGGAGCCCAGGGGAAGGGCCTTTCTCACTCAGACACCCCTTTTGCCAGGTCTCCTCTGTTCCCCTGAGCCATCAGCTGGCACCAGCCCGGACCAGGAGGGTCTCACACCCTCCCCGATGCTCCTTCTCCTCAATAAACACCGAATTGAGCACCGTCCGGCATCGCCCGTGTGCCTTTAGTGTTGCTCGTGTCTCTGGGCTGAAGGGTTGCTGCTCAGGGGCAGAGACAGTTCCCAGTGAGATCCCGTGTCCCCGTTGTTCCGCCCCCAACCTGCCAGGGCCTGGGAGAGCTCCCTGTGCCCATGGGAACCATGACCCAGAACAGGAAGTTGTCCCTGCAGAGTGACCCTGGATGCTGTCCTTGCCCCCCTGGGAAGGGAGAGGAGCCCAGTGGGAGCGACAAGGGGAAGAACTGAGAAGGGAATCAGGAGAAATGAGGGGGGTTCCAGGAGCACAGCTGGGGGCCGGACGCAGAAACAAGGGGGAAGGAGACCCTTGAGCAAAGGCCATTGTCTGAGTAGGAACAGAGGTTGAAAATCTCAGCTCCATAATGAGGGACCCAGTCAGGAGAGCGTTTACCAGGTGAGGGGTCCGTGGTTTGTCTTTACTGGGAAGTCAGGGAAATCTTTGGAAAATGAAACACGGGTGTATTTCTCAGACTTTCACAATGCACATTAGCTAAGTAAAGGCACTGACAAGTCCTGCAGTAGGGAAACACTCTGATACGATGAAACCCAGCATTTCCCAATTCATGTTCACCTCTTTTCCACTTTAAGGAGCCAGATAATACTCTATGAGACACCAGTGCTCCGCAAGGCTGAGGCACATGGGGGGGGGGTCGGTTTAGGTTAGAAAGGTTTAGGTTCAGGGACAGAGGCAGGGACAGGTTTGTGGATGGAGCCTGGGGATGGTCAGCCTACATAAGGAGGGGACAAATGATAAAAGGCACCAACCCGGGCACAGAATGGGCATTCGGTGATAGCCCAAGGGAGGCTCTGTCAGAGTCCAATTCAAGACTCGAGTCAAGACCAGGTCAGACCAGGTCAGAGCAGAGCAGTGGAGGCTGAGAGCTAAGTCAAGGTCAGGTTCCACAGGGACTCAACACCCCCAGACCCCCCTGCCTCCCTCACTCACTGTGCTCAGCCTCCCCCACCCCACGTGCACCTGCTGCCTGATGTCAGAGACATGGGGCCCCCAGGGACCCCAACAGCTGGTGACGTCACCTCCTGGATATGGAGGCTCTGGCCATCTCTGTCAGTCCTCAGTGCCCCAGGGACTCTCAGGCCACCCTGTCTCTGCCTCCAGCACATCAGAGAGGAGAAACTGGCTTCACTAAGGCTACTGGGTGGCCGGCCAGGCCCAGGACAGAGCCTTAGAAAGACAGAGACCTGGGCCGCGGCGAGGCAGAGAGAAAGAGGCCCACTTGGAGCTTGATCCCGGCCGCTTCTGCCCCAAATCACAGCCTCCACGCTGGAAGGAAGCTTAGGGGTCCTTGTGTCCTGCGGGATCTGACCCAATTTCATGAATGTGAAAACTGAGATCCAGTGGGAGATGGGACACCCAAGTCTCTTTCAGCTCAGTGGCCCTGCCGGGTGCAATGCCAGGGTCCACCCCTTCGCCAGCTGCTGCCCAGAGACTAACCTCCTCTTTACACTGTACTTTTTTATTACAGAGAACTTTGAACACAAAAATAAAGAACCAGACATAATAATGACCCCCATGTTCCCATCACCCAGCCCCCAGAATAAGCGATTCACAGACAGTGCTGGCCCACTGACAAGAGCGACTCCTCCCTTCCTCAATATTCAGAAGCAAATTCTGACAGCGTACCTCTTCACCTGTGAATATTCCATCTCTGTCCTGGAAAAATCAAGATCTAACTACAATATCAGTATCACACCTGCCAAGAAATTATCAGTAATTCCTTAATATCAAAAAACAATCCGGGTCTCATCCAATCCCTCAGGAATGCCATAGTGTATTTATTTACTGTGCTTTGGTGCTGTTTTTATTTTGTGGGGTTTTCCTTTGTTATTTGCAAAGGTTCGAATCGGCAACAGGTGCACGTGTTTTAGGCCTGGTGTCACCTGAGGGAGTCTCCCAGATGGCTCTAGTGCTCCCGGTAAGGCAGGAGCCGCAGGAGCCGAGAGCTGCTCCCGGGACACTCCCAGGGCCAGGATGCAGCCTCAGCCTCCCCGAGCCGGAACCCAGCGCCTCTGTCTGTTCCGCTTTCCCTCAAAGTGCTTCTGGCATCAGGGACTTCAGGGGTTCAGGCTGCACATTCGCAAAACTGCTTCCAAGAAGGTCGGCTGCTTCCAGCAATGATGACCCATTACTGGAGTTGGGTGTTCAGTAACTTCGTCCCCGGATGAGCAGGAATACAGAGGGTCGATGTTCCAGTTCATGTCCTTCCCGTGAGGGCTGCGGCGTGTCCGGGATGGGAGGGCCCTGCAGCTGCAGTTTATCCATCCGGGAGTGTGTTTCATGCTCTGGGGAAAAAAGAAGAAATGGAGATCAATCCCTTTTATTCGCCACGTTGCAAATTGAGGTTCTGGTGCCCGGCCATCGTCCAGGCTGAACAGTTGAATTTAGGGCCACGGTGAACGCTCGCACGTGGGTATATCTGACACGTGGGATCCACTGTTGTTATATTTCAGTGGTGATGACAATGTGCCTGCAAAGCATGGACATTTGTCCACTGAGAGCCTCTTCACGTGGCTCCTGGAATCCCTGACGTGACCTCAGAGGACCTCAGTGACCCTGATTTCTGGGGCGACAACATGTTCCACCTCCACCTGTCCCCTTCCTGCCCCAGGCATGGAGCAGCCTGATCCTGCTTTGCTCTAGTGGGAGGGAGTGTTGGGAGACCACAGTCAGGACCCTTGCTCATGTGTCCCATTGGAATGAAGCAATAACTGTCCCCACACACGTGACCCACCTGACATGAGACTGGATTGAGGGGACACAGGATGCTCCCAAGGCCAGCCTGGAGGATGAGGCTGGCATTTCCCACAGGGACCAGCCAGGCCTCACTGGCCAGGCCCATGACAACCAGGACAACCCAGGGAAGGTGGGGCTGATAGCCCTGGACTCAGGGCTGGCATCATCTGCAAAGTCCCTGTGGCCACACAGCACAGCACATTGACAGGTTCTGAGGTGGGGATGCGACCATCCTTGGGGGACCCATATTCAGCCGACACAGCTCCGTTTCTAGCTCCCTGGGGATTCAGGAAACCTTGTCTCCACACTTCTCTGTGCCCTGCCCAGTTGGGTGGGGGCCACTCCTGTGGGTCTTCCCAGCCCAGGGTCTCCTTTGGCCCCTTCTCCTCCTGGGGTCCCAGGGAAAGGACTGTGATTCTAGACGCAGCTCGGGGCATTTTCTTCCTGAAGGCCCCCTGAGGCTAAACGCTCTCCATGCCTCACCTCTCTGCCTGCCCTTGAAGCAAGATCCTATTATGACCTTCAGCCAAGAGCCCTCGAGTGACCTGCTTGGGCCACAGCAAGGACTCAAACCTGGGCCCACCCAGCCCAGATCTCAGCCCTGGACCCCAGGTGACCTTGGGCCATTTTCTTACTGTCCCTAAGCCTTGTCCTCTCACCAGGCAAAGAGGATGTCAGCACCTGTCCTGCCCACCTCAAAAATTGCTGGGAAGGACACTGGAAGGACGTATGTGCATGAAGATGCTTTACAAACCCTAGAGAATGTCTCAGGTATGATCTTAGTATTGGAGGGACCCTGGCAGTCACTGGGCTGACTCTCCTCAGAGTTGGATCACCGTTTGTGGTAAGAGCCTGAGCTTGGAGCCCAGACAGACCCAGGTTCAAGTCCTGGCTCCACCACTTGTCCAAGTGTGAGACTGTCCTCTCTGTGTCCTCTTTCGTGATGTGGAGGTGATGATGGTGGCAGCTACTGCTCAGGGCTGTGTAAGGATTCAGTGGAATAATTGTGGGAAGCCCTTGGCACAGCACTTGGCAGGGGTGTGATGATGGATCCAAGGTCTGCCCTACGGGGTGACAAAAAAACCCCAATCTCTCCTCCCTGTGGTACGATACCTTGGAGGCCAGGTGGTTGACGAAGTGTTCTAGGATGTCTAACTCAAGGACTCACAAAACCCTGAAAAGTGTCTGTATAAATGCATATTATGGGGAGAGGTCCCAGGCTTCATGCAGAAAGAGGCCACGATCCATAAAGGGTTAACCACAGTGACCTAATAGTCTAGGACTCTTATTTAGGAAACCAAGATCCTGTAGTAATATCAGACAAAGTACACTGTAAGACAACAGTTATTGCAAGAGACAAAGAAGGACATTATATATTGATAAAAACTAGCAATCAACAACAAAGGAAATTGGGTAAATTCAGAAGTACATGAAAATTAAACAACACACGCCTAAATAAACAATGAGTCAAAGCATAAATTACAAGTGATATTAGAAAATCCTTTGAGATGAACAGAGATGTAAATACAACATACCAAAACTTATAGGATGCCACAAAACAAGTGCTCAGAGGAAAATTTGTAGCTGTAAATGCCTATATTTAAAGAGGAAAGAAAGGCTAATGCATTTAATGTAAATACTTATATTTTAGAAAAAGAAAGAAAAAACCCAAATGTACAGCCTAACTTTATACCTTAAAGAACTAGTGAAAGAAGTGCTAAGCTGAAAGTTAGCAGAAGGAAGAAAGTAACAAAGATTAGAGATAAATAGAGAATAGAAAAACAATACAATCAACAAAACCAAAAATTGGTTCTTGGAAATTATCAACAAAATTGACAAACCTTTAGCTAGGCTGACCAAGAACAAAAGAAAGAAGACTCAAATTAAAATCAGATGGAAGTGTGGACATCACTACGGATCTTACAGAAACAAAAAGTATTATAAGAAAATAGTATGAACAACTGTACCACAACAAATTAGATTACCTAGATGAAATGGACAAATTCCTAGAAACATACAAA